ATTGCTAGTAATCCCCTCCCCATTATATTAAAGCTCCGGACCCCCCATCATACTAGAATTTTCCATTGTTGTATACTAGAATATATGGGGACGTTTTACATTAGGGGGGTGGGGACGTTTGATATTAGGGGAAGGGGACTTTTCAAAGTATGCCTGGTACTGCTAATGCTTTTTGAGAAACTGCTGTGTCAGCTTGTGAGAGGGAATCCCAAAAATGAACGGAACAGTTTTCAGCATTCTGAAGTAAATCTCATCCCCGAGCCCTACAACAAGCTCTCAAACGCGAAGCCCTGACCCATTCTTAACCGTCAATCCCAGGTCCTACGCCTTAAGCTCCCCCAAAGATCTCAAAGCCAAACCAGAGCAAAACTCAGCGCCTAAAATCGAGCGTCGGGATGGTTATGCTCTCTTCACAAGTTCTGGATCCCTCTGAATTGAGGGTGTCAGATTTTCTCCATCCACCGAACGTGATAAGTCCTCAGCCCTAAAAGCGGGATTGCGAGGAGATTATGGCGTTCCCTCTTGCGGGTTGTATAGGGATAACATTGAGAAGCTCCCGAATTCATTGCGTTGGCTGCAGTTCTGTTCATTAGAACCTGGTCGCCATTAGCACCGCGCGTGAGAATAACGGCAGCAGCAATGACGCTGGAAGGCCTTCTACAACCTCTACGGCATCCAGGGACAACAAAAATCATCGGTCGCTCGCGCCGCTTGCGCACAAAAGCTTTGGCAAAGCCTTTGCTACAGCTCTGTGCCTTTGCTGGATTAAGGGATTGAGGGCTGAAGGGTTCATGGTTTAGATTAAGGAGTTGAGGGAATCAGAGTGGATGAGGGTTTGAATTTCCAAGAGTTTGCTCATACAGCTATGCTGCCATCCTTTGCTTTGCAGAGGCTGAAACTCAACCCGGAACCCTTTAGTCGTAAAACTTAAGCGAGCCAGGCTCACAAGCTTACATGGAGACCCAAAGGACCCTTTTCATGGAGGGAGGAAATCTTGTATCACACCATCTGCCCCAACGGAATTGCAGTACTTTAGGCACCCTAAGTCGTACATGCTTTCCTTCATTTGGCACCCCAGACCCTACACCCTGAACCTTGAACCCTGAGTCCTAAACGTAAACCCTGAACCCTCAAAAAGAGGCCTTTATGGGGTGCAGTCCTAGGTTGCGGGATGCTAGGATGGTACTGATTTTTGAACGAAGCTGCTTCGACTGTCGAAAGCCGAGTCTCTTCTCGGTTGCTGTTGAGGAATTTTAATTAAGCTACCAGAATGTGGGATAATGTAGGGTTCAGGGTTTAGGGTTACCATGATTTGAGTATATAGTAATTTATAGAGGTATGTAGGGTTTAGGGTTTAGGGGATAGGGGTTTAAGTTACCATGATATGGGTATATGGTAAATAATAGGGTTTGCTCATCAAAATAACTCATTCTAAGTTCTTCAAACGTATGGTAATCCACTCCATGGACCTCAAAGCTCTAACCCTAGACCGTGCAACCCTCGAACGCGAACCCCAGGCTCGTTGGGGTAATTAGCTGTATTTGGAAGCCATGTTTCCCAACTCAACCCAAACACTGCAGTGCAGATAGAAATGCTGCGGGAGGTGACAAACATTCGCTTCCTCAATTGGGTGTTTCTCACAAATAACCATGGCAGAACCATGCAGAGGGACGGTCGCACTTCTTCCAGGATGATAGTATAAGCCCTATACTCCTGGGTCCCTTCGGGCATCCGAATTTGAAGACCCCCGATTTGCCCAAACCCTAGGCCTTTAAGCCCTGAACCCCGATTGAGTTTGTCGGAAGCTGAGGCTTTGACATCAACAAGACCATCGTCATGGAAGCTCGTCAGTTGCTTGCGTTTTGTTGGGTTCAAAGAGCCTGACAGGGTTTGTGCCTAGGCTGTAAGGGACTTCTGAATCATGGGGTTGCAAGGGGCCTTCCGGCCGGCTGCCTGGGGCAATTTTCAGTCTTAACCTCCCAAACAGTGTTCGAATCACCGGAAAACCTGTGTCATGGCTGTGGATATGATTGGCTCAAAAGCTCTTCCGACCAAACACTTCGCCGGCAAATTTGCATCCGCAAGTCCTGTCACCGTCTTGATCCTGCGGTTGATGTCGGAGCCCAAATATATAATCAGAACAGGGTTTTGAGCTATGTGACACGCAAGTACATGAATATGGTCCAGGACTAGTATTGATACTCAGGAAGGCGAAGTTCAAGTGTGAAGGGCAGTTTTGGTACCAATGGAATTGTTGCGCACTGTCGAAGATTCCCTACGCAACATCTTTCAACACTGTAGAATTCCCGCGACAATCCACGCTTTTAAACATGAGGCCACAAATCTAGACTTAAAATCTCATGTCCCACAGGAGCTTTGGAGTCAACTGCTTTATCCAAGGAGGATTCGTCCGGACGAAAGACGCCCCGTGTGCTGTGCAACGAGGCCTCGCTGTCTCAAAGTTATTCTGCCTAGGTAGGAAAACGCTCCAGTTATTATCAGATTGTGACCCATATGCCCCTATGGTGGCCTTATAGATAAGACTAATGCTTCCTTATAGATAAGACTAGTGTTTCGTAACATCCTGCCCATCCACATCCCCTCATGAGGGTTTGCTATCTGTTAGTGACCAGGATTTGTTGTTAGTGCGCAGCTTTATGTAGCTGTCTTACCGGTTTCACGTCCATGTCTCTTCCCCTGAGGGAATCTGCCATTTATTGAGCTGGACTTTTGTGAAAATTGAATTGCATGGCCGTGGTCTCTTCCCTGCAGAGCCATCAATTTCCCCTTTTGCAGGGGCTTCTCCCCTCCTCTGAACACTGGGAGGCATGCTATCCTGGTAGTTGGGCGCCGTGAGTATTTGGAAGAAGAGAGCTGCAGTTTAATTTCTCTCATCACATCACTGCTATCGTCGACCTGGTTGCTGCCGTATTGAACCTTGAGCCCGATGCTCTCCTTCTTGATCCCCGTATGCTAGGATCTTCCATATAGTAGCTGAGCAATCAGGTGTTCTTCGCCATAAGTACTGTATCCACACGCTAAGCTTAAACCCTTAGCCCTAAGACCCAAACCCTTCACAATGAATCCCAAGCCCCAAACTCTAAGCCTCGCTTTCTTACTCCGAAAGTCAGGCTCACAACCTCGTAGCACTGTCAAAGCCCTTACGTGAATCAATCCAGTTTCCTGACTAAGTCTATTTGGGGACTCTGACCCTGTTGTTGCTGGAGGCAATCTTGCACCACAACTGAGGCCCGGGATTCCTAGGACTTGATGTCCTAATGCTGGTGTAAGATTTGCTGCATGAACCATATATTGGGGTACTGGGTGTCCAAGCCTAAACTATAAACTCTTCAACTGCCGACACCCCAATTCCTAAAGCTCTAAAGCGCTCAATCCTAAACTGTCAACCCCCCCCCCTTCCCAGCCCCTCGAATTCCTGAATCATGTCCACACTGATCCTCAGAAACTTTAGGCCAGTAACAGGCGCAATGCCCTGCCCTAGACTTTGGAGTTGAAGGCTTTCTTCGTACAAAGCGAAAAAATATGTATGCGAAATCGAAATACATATGAGAGCTTCAAAAAGAATCCTCAGCCCCATTACAGTCCCTAGATCTCGTTAGGGTCTGCAGTAGTTTTTGGGGTACTAGAGTACATTGGGGCTATATTGGGATGACGGAAAAGAAAATGGAAACTACTATACTATATCGGGGCCGCGGTTTGCAAGAACATGTCAAGTTTCCTAACCTCGTCCCTAGAGACTTCCCATGAAACCTGACATCCTCCATGCATAGCCAGCCATTTCCCTAAGCCCATTGAGCATTTACTTAGACTTAAACTGTAAGCCCCTAAACGTTTAACGTTTAAACCCTGAGTCATCGTCTTCCTGCTCCTTCAGGTGTGAAATCTCATCCTGAATCCTAGAACTTTTTTAACTGCCTTCCCCCCACAAACAGTTGGATACATATTATGACATCATTAATTTCCAAGCCCCTTGCTCTTGCCCTCGCTTTGAAGTCTGCTACTTTGGGGGCTAGTCCCCAACCTGGAAGAATCAACTCCTAGACTCTGCCGCGCACCCCAAATCGCCTCAACCCGAAATGCCTTACTTGGAGGGTCTTATGTAAGTAGGTTAACAATACCCTAGAACCCACGTAGTAACCCTAGTGATTCCGCTTATCATCCTACTTGCTAAGTCCCCCTGATCCTCCAAGTACGGTCCCCCAAGCCCCGCAACTTGCAAGCGGTGAGGCTTTAACCGCTAAACCCAAAGCCCTGAAGCAGTAGCGATCGAAAATCACCAAACCTTAAACCTAAAACCCAAGCCTAAAACCCCAGGATTGATATGTGGACCCGCAAAAGAGACCCTTAGCTTCTGATCAACCCTAAGCCCTGAACCCTAAACCCTAAGCCCTGAACCCTAGGCTTTGGCCGATGCAGCCTGGGGAACAGATCGCGGAGACCGCTGGGAGTTCAGCGGAGCTCCCCTGGGCGTCGATTCTCCGGACCTTCTCCTGGGGCTTCCTTCAATTGGGGCTTAAATGGGCCTTTTTGGGGGTCCCCCTAATGAGGACTATAGGCATAAAACCATGAACCCTTAAATCTTAAACCCAAAACCATTTCAACTACCACCTTCAGGGCATGGCATTTGTTGTGAACCCCTCTCTCTGGCACGTCGGTCCTTAGGGTCTTCCAGTGTAGCTGTTCATGTCGTACCCTACCCGCCCAGTGACACAGCTCGGACGAAGATGCAGGAAGGACAGTAGTTCGAGCAGAAGAAGCAGAAGCAAGGCCAGTAGAGCGAAACAGTAGGATCATTGGCAGTGGTAGTATCAGCAGGAACAGCTGCAGTAGCCTCAGTAGCACTGGCAGTAGCAGCAGCCGCTTATCATCGTCATCATCACTGTTGGTACAGAAGTTTGAGTTGTGTCACCCCATAAGATATTGCCTACGCCGCTGTCTGTGAAAAACTCCGGGCGGCATTTCAGATACTCTTGCCCGCTATGCTGCAGAGACTGTGCATCATCAGCCTTCATCTTCTGCCAGTTCTGCGCGGCGATGGAGACGTGACAGGATCAACAACAACATCCACCACAGCTGTGGGTCAAACTACGACTACCACAACATCTGCTGGGTCTTTTCTTTGTCCAAACGGATGGACGCTGATAGGCTACAGGTGCTTCCACTACAGCGGCGAGGAGCGCAGTTACGATGAATCGGTTGCATACTGTGAAGGGATGGGCTCTGTGATTGCAAGTATCCGTGGCGAATCCGAGAACGCTGCAGTGACCGCCTTGATCCCCACTGCTTGCGCTAGGACGGCCTACATTGGCGCGGAGAGTAGCTTGCTGGCTGTTCAGGAGTCAGGAGGGAAGGAAGGAATGGAAAAGAGCACGAAAACTACCTTTATTTGAAGGGCATATGTCTATATACCTACTACTGCAGTTTTGGGGTTGTATATAAATATATATATATATGTGTATATACATTTTTCCTTTATACTACATGTATGTATGCAACGAACAACCAGTCAGGTAAAGGCAATGGAGTGTGGAGTTGGCATGATGGGACTGGATGGTGGCAGCCTCAGATCCATGGCGGCTTGCTGGGAGTCGAAGCTAAGATATTCCTGGCACTGAGCTTTCCTGGTTGTGTGCCACATTCCGATGTAACAGTATATAATTTCTATAAAGTCATGGGAACTACGACGCGCCATAATCCCAATACATTCCCCATACATGTGTCTAGGGTTCGTAAATGTGTAGTCCCCCTTTAGTAGATAGAACATGGCCTTGGGTATATTATAATATGACCCCCATATACCCCATATTCTATCTACTCAAATCGAAATTATAACACCAACATGTGCCCCACTATATAATAGTAGTTTCCATTTTGTTTTCCATTATCCCTATATAACCTCTATAGTATACCCCACGTTCTATCTACTTAAGGGGGTCCCTAAACCCTAAACCCTAAATAATGGTTTCCATTTTCTTTTCCATTATCCCAATATAGCCCCAATATTCTATCTACTTAAGGGAGACTAGAACCCCAATATATACCCTATTATAATATAGTAGCTTCCATTTTCTTTTCCATTCTCCCTATATAACCGCTTCAAAGCCCCAATATTCAATCTACTTAAGGGGGACCTTAAACCCTAAACCCTAAATAATAGTTTCCATTTTCTTTTCCATTATCCCAATATAACCCCCATATTCTATCTACTTAAGGGGGACTATATCCCAGGAGGAGACTCGAGTCGTTA